CGATGTGGGACTCGATCCCGGGACTCCAGGATCATGACCTGAGCCGAAGGCAGTCGCTCAACCAACTGAGCCACCCAGGCGCCCAAGTGACAGGATTTCTTGTCTCTGGGGCTGGCAGATGTGGGAAAGGGTCTGCTGTTGTAGGCGGGTCTACAAACCCCGCCCTCCGCAAGCAGGTGGCCTGCACAGCAGCTGGGGGACAAAGGGCACACCACTTGGTGGGCAGGACCCATTCCCTGGGGTGGGCAGTGGGCCCGCGGTTGGAGCCAGCTGCGTCTCCAGCCCCGCCAGCGCCCTCGTTCTGGGCCAGGCTGCAGGAGCCCCTTGTTCCCGGAGGCCAGCACCCGACCCTGCTAACTCTCCTCTTGCTCTTTCTCAGGCTGGAGTGGGTGGAGATCATCGAGCCGCGCACCCGCGAGCGTATGTATGCCAACCTGGTCACGGGCGAGTGCGTGTGGGACCCTCCTGCCGGCGTCCGCATCAAGCGCACCAGCGAGAACCAGTGGTGGGAGCTGTTTGACCCCAACACATCCCGCTTCTACTATTACAGTGCTAGCACCCAGCGCACTGTGTGGCACCGGCCGCAGGACTGCGACATCATCCCCCTGGCCAAGCTGCAGACCCTGAAGCAGAACACTGAGTCACCCCGCGCCTCGGCGGAGAACAGCCCTGGGAGGGGCAGCGGCGTCAGCCGCGAGGGCAGCACCAGCTCCTCCCTGGAGCCCGAGCCGGATGCCGGCGAGAAGGCGCAGGAGCCTTCGGGGAGGACCAGTCGGCAGGCCACTTTTGGGGCTCTGAAGGACGAGAGCGGCAGGTGAGGCGGGCGGGCGGGCCCGGGTGTGCTGGGTGAGGCCCCAGCCTCATACCAGCGGTTGCCTCCCACCCTTGCCCGCAGATGCTCTCGTTGCCATTTGGCAGGAGCCTCTGTTGGTGACGAGGAGGGCCCGGTCTGTCCTTACGGAGGTTTTCTGGCTTATGACCGTGAAATCGTTTGGTTCTGTCCACTGTGGGAAGCGGGAATGTGGCGTTAGGACCAACCAGAGGCACACCCCCAAAGGTGCCCTGTATCCCAGTGCCCACACCTGGCAGGCACGGCGGCAGGGCCCAGAGCTCGGGGAGCCGAGTCCAGCAGGAATGGCTGGTCAGGAAGGTGCTGGGACAGCATGCCCTGGGGACAGGTGGTGAAAGGAGCCGGGGAGGATGGAGGGACACGATAATTGGCCTCGGAGGCCAGGCAGGGGCAGGGTGGTAGGGATGGGGGGAGTGGGGCCGGGGTGAGGCGGGCTGGATTTCACTCAGGGACGGTGGAAACCACAAAGTGATCAAACCTGCTGTATGCTAAGGGTCCATTTTGCTCCGGTGAAAGGGATGTCCAAGGGGCCCGGGATGGAAACAGGTGGCTGGCAGCCATCGGTAGGAGCTGGAAATGCTGTTCTATGTGGCGCAGTTGGGTGGGCGTGCTGGCAGATTTGGGGTGCTGTGGGGGGCTGGGCAGCTGGCTGTGGCGCTCCCAAATGGGGCGGGGAAGACGAGGCACATACAGGGGTCAGATCAGTGTGCATGCTGGTGCTGGGGAGGCAGAAATTTCCTTCTCTCCTCCCAGGACTCTTCCAGCTGGGTTCGGAATTAAATCGTCATAAGGCAGATTAACAGGAGGGAAAAAGCAGTTTTGTTTCATGCACAGAGGTCCATTAATGAAATCGAGACCCCAAGAAATGGCCAAGGCAGGTAGTTTTTATATTTTTTGGACAAAGACACAGTAAATTTGTGAGGAATTGACAGGATAAAGAAAACAGACGTTTGGGAGCTTTACTTAGAGAGGAATTCTAAGCAGAGTCTGGACTGAGGTAACGTTGACAAGGTCTGTTTCTCCAGCTCTCTCAGCAAGGAAGCTCCTACCGCTGGTGAGAATGGTACCTTTTTACTTCTTCCTACAGGGACGGTGTTTCCCCATGGAAGGGTTACTTCAGCTTTCAGGGGACAGAGCGGAGTCTGATGACCTTGCACCACTGCATTCCCAAGTGGCTTCCATGCAAAATAATCAGTTTGCCATGGTGGCACATTTTGGGGTGGCCTGCCCTGGGCCCCTACATTGGACACACACCAGAGGTCAGAGGCCAAAGAGGTGGTGGCTGGGCAGGCCTGAGGAGACTCGGGGACTTTTGGGCGTTGCCCCCAGAAAGTGGCGCTGCCCCTGGTGAGGTTGGGGAGCCCCAGGGGTGAGCACCCAGAAGAAAGCAAATGGGTGTGTGGGCTCTGCCTCTGGCTTCCTGTGGGGCCCACGCTGTGCTGCTGCCGAGAGGCCCTCCCGGCACTCCCTCTGTCCATCAGCTTCGACAGCCTCTGGGCTCATCACATAGTCTCCGTTTTATTGGATCGTGATGATTTTGAATTCTTTATCCTATTGGTTGCTGACTCATCTCTGTAATTAGGTGGAGAGACTGGATTCTGTTTCGGGTTCTGTTGGCAGATGTGTCTGTCACGCCCATTCTCGGGCTACCCTTCTCTGCCCTGTGCCATGCTGCCCAGTGGTGGGAGTGTCCTCCTCGGGTGCCTCGGATATTCTCTGGGGTGGTGGGGGTTACTGCATCAGTTTGGGGTCAGGATTTCCACAAGAAGCCCTGTTTGGATTTGGATTAGAATTGTACTGAGTTTGGGCGCCTGGGTGGCTCAGTTGGTTAAGCGACTGCCTTCGGCTCAGGTCATGATCCTGGAGTCCCAGGATCGAGTCCCGCATCGGGCTCC